AGAGAGAGAGAGAGAGAGAGAGAGAGAGAGAGAGAGAGAGAGAGAGAGAGAGAGAGAGAGAGAGAAAAGCACGTATCCAAGATCAGTCGTTGCGTGCGTAGGTCGCGTCGCGTCGCGTAGGTAGGTCGCGTCGCGTAGCGTAGGTAGGTCGCGTTGAGTAGATAGGTCGCGTAGTGTAGGTAGGTCGCGTCGCGTAGCGTAGGTCGCGTCGAGTAGGTAGGTCGATTAGCGTAGGTCGCGTCGAGTAGGTAGGTCACGTCGCGTAGCGTGGTCGCGTCGCGTCGTGTAGGGCCGTAGTTTTCCCGCCCGCCCGCCAACGGTCCTTTCGGACCGAACTCCCCAAGGCACCGCGGCGATCCGGGCCGTAAATGGCCCGACGGCCCGGATTCGCCCGCGATCTTAAAACTTTAAGATCGCGGGGCGATCTGGGCCGTCGGGCAGGTCCAACCGCGAACGGCCTGGATCGCCGCGCGATCTTAAAGATCTAAGATCGGGGCCCAATCTGGGCCGTCGGGCCGGTAGGTCCAAAGACGGCCCGGATTTCAGAATTCTGACATTAGCGATTTTTATAAGTGTAGGGAAATCTGGGAGACACAGGGCAAGCAACTTCGAAAACAGACTGGCACGATCTCTGTACTAAAGGATAGACTGGGAAATGCGATGAAAGTACAGGCTTCTCTTACCACTGATGGCCTGCGACAGGCAAGGATAACACAATCTCCTTCCGTCCTAGGCGAAGGACGTCTTGACTGTACACGGACCGGATGGATGAAAACAGCCGAGACTGCAGAAACTGAGACTATTTCCTTGGAAAACTATAGACCAAAGGTAGCCTAAGGGTATAGTCTACAGTCTAAGGCTCCAATGTTAACAGCCCAGGGCTCGTCTTTCTGGAACAAGAGGTCACAGACTAAAGACTTCTTTTTTTTTTTTTCCGCACATTCTCATCTGTCTGGTTTCCCCTGTATCGCCAGATGATACAGGGAATCACAGAGATAAAAATGGCAGGACTACAATGGATGCACATGCATTCATGTGTCCCCACAGCAGAATGGTGCTCAGAGAAAGGGATGGAAATCAATATATTCTGCGACCAATGCCCCTATCCCATAGTGGAATCTTCTGCACATTTGTGGTGGGAATGTGTGGTGGCACGAGGCTTCTGGAACTGGCTTCGAGACTTATGGAGGAAGGCCTATGGAGACTCCACCATGTTGAATGAAACTTTTGTAATCTCAGCAAGAACAGACATCCATATTGGAAAAGGTATTGCCTTACAGCTTAGACCCATTGCCTTCTGGTTATTGTGGATGGCAAGAAGAGACAGGCGTTTCAATGGGAAAGTCGCCGCGGATGTGGCTCTAAGGAACAGCTTCAGACTATCGGTTCGAACGCTGATCCTTGCAGAGTACAGGAAAGCCAAACAGAAAAGGACAACAGCGGCAGTCGGTCCTGCGAAACACACAAAGCATTGGGAGTATCCTTTTCAGTGGGCAGGGAGAACCCCCGACGATAAAATTTTCTTCTCTCGGTTGTTGTGGGATGAAAGCCATGAGTACCACCTTCAGTCAGGAGATTTAATCGTTCCCTACCAATAGCTCCAGAGTCCAGACTGCCAGGGATCTAAATACTAATAGAGGCAATAGCGTCCTCATAGTAGCAGAGATGGTTTGATTCCGTTGAACCAAATATAGACACTTTAGAGCAAGGACGCTGGAACTGTTTTCCAGCAATGGTTCTATGGGCATCGCCACACCACTCTCGAAATGTGAAAAATGAGAACGAACTTGCCGCTAGAACATGACCAGATGCGCCCGCCACATTTTTGTCTTTTTCACACTTCGGGAGTAGTGTGGCGACGCCCTATGGAATCAAAGGATAGATATTAGATATTGTTGAGCAAGGACGCTGGACCTAATTTCCAGCAATTGTTCGTCAGATTGAACAGGGATACCCTGTTCAAAAAACAAGCTGAGAGGACGCTGGACCTGTTTTCCAGCACGGGCCTGAGCTGAGTAAGAGCCTCAGTATCCGGGTGGAATTGTGAGGTCCCCGGCCTCACTTTTATATGATTCAATATTAAAGGAACAACATCGACCAAAAACAAAAAAACAAAAAAGGAAAGAAAGAAAGAAAGAAAGAAAGAAAGAAAGAAAGAAAGGAATGAAAAAAAGAAAAGGACGCGCCCTTATCGTGACTGCATCGGGCAGGTGTATCTTCCCGTGTTCTACATGGAGATACATTATTGTTTTGCAGACGGTCGAGTGGTGCTGCGAGAGCCTAAAACATGCCAAACATGGAAAAACCGCTTTTAGGGGCTCGCTCCACTGCTCAACAATAGATACGTATCTGATGCATTTTGAATGCATTAGGACCGCTTTCAGAGGCCGATACATTTAGCATGCTGTGCAGTGGAGCGAGGCCCCAAAGTAGCCGTTCCTCTTTCGTCTGGCTTCGACAGTGGACGGTTACTTCAGGGCCTTGCTCCACTGCACAGCTTTCTTTTTCTTTTTTTCTTTATTTTCTTTTCTTCTTCTACCTATCC